ACTCTTCAGAAGGCAGCAAAAGATTTATGAACTTCCATGGAGTCCTATGTTTATATTTTTCACTCCTTCCTATTCAGATAACTCAGATTAAGAAGTCTGCATGAGCTCATCTTCTCATTCATTTTGAATATGAACTATATTTGTCTTTAAAAATCATTTTGATAGTAGGAAACAAAAGGGAGTAGTAAAGCACTTGAATGTAAATTATGACAGGATTCACATCCCTCTTAGGTATGTCATCCCTCTCAGGCTTATCCTGTTCTTGTCTATAGAAAACAGTTATGATTGTTTTGGGGCCCAGTTTCTGAAATTCAGAAAGGTTAAAAAAGATTTTAAAAAACAGAACACATTCGTCAGAGTCTGACATCTTGACAATTTGTTTCAAGGTTTTTTCTTTCCTATGCATTTTTGAAAAATATTTCTAAAATGTGTGTTCTTAGTGTTTTCCTTATACTTTTTTCACAGACAGAATATTTAATGAAAAATGGAGAAGAAAGCAGGAAGTGAAAATGTCCCTTGCCTTTTGATACTTTGTTCTGAGATAAATCTTTTTAAAAAATACTGAGAAATAGTTTCAAACTTGATATTTTGGATTAGATTCTATGGTCTGATATTTTGTCAAAAAATTTTCTATTACTAATAATTGTGAGTAGAATTGACATTTCAGTTCTCAAACAAAATAGGGAATATGTTTGGTCATAAATAACTAGAACTGTTTTGGAGAAAAGATAATCACTCAATTTTCAATAAAGCTGCCCTATCATTACTAAACAAATAGTACAGACAATTCCATCATTATTTTTGTAGCACATTATTTAAAAAAACAGTTTGTGACAAATTGAAATTTGTTAGTTTTTGAAAATGTTTTGCTTGAAAGGAGAGTGTGTGGTGAAGAGAAAACTCCAGCCTCCTTGTGAGTACACCAGAGCTGTAGGATATGAGTATCTGTATAGAGTATAGAGACAGTATGGTCTAGTGCAGTGGTGGCAAATCTTTTAGAGATCGAGTGCCCAAACTGCAACCCAAAACCAATTTATGTATCGCTGGATGCCGGGTGGGTGTGGCCCCCCACTGGGTGGGCATGGCTATGGTGGTCACAGCAGACTGGGTGGGCATGGCCAGGATGGGCGTGGCCAGCTTGATGTTGCTCCTGGGAAGGGATGCCTGTGGGGGCCGGGACGGGTTGTGGGAGATTCAGGGGTCTCTGGCAGGTGGGGCAGTGGGCAGGAGGGCATCTTGCTCAGCTGATGGCTTAGGGGAGAAGGGGGTGGCTACACCCCCTACCAAACGCTGCCATCTCATGAAAGCAGGATGAAAAAAAGTTAAACAGAAGAGTGTCTCGTGATGGTTTTCTTCCCTGGGGTGGTGCAGGGGTATGGGGGGAGGCTCCTGAGCCCCGCAGCTCTTCTGAGAGGGGGGAGGAGGAGAGTGGGGAGGGGCTGTGCTGGGATTTGGACTCCTCGTGCCTTCCACTGCCCACCTGTGCTCTTCTGCCGCAGATGTCATGGCTCGACTTGCCCGGAGCTGGGGCATGCTTGAGCATGGGGACACACATGGGGCTGTTGCCTCACTTTATGTGCTATGCCAGTACAGGGCTCGACTGGGTGCAGAGCCTCCTCATGGCTTCTTTCTCCGCAGACATCGGGAGCGCCCACCCCACCTACTGCTCATCCCAGGGCAGCTGCCGCCGTCCTGTGCTCTCCAGCCCGTCCCCAGCTAGCCCTCCTTCTCCATCCTCCTGCTCCTTCTGGGGGTAGACCATGGCTTATTGAGCCGGGCGGAACCTCTCCCTGCATGCGTCCTCAGGTGGAGGAGCCAGGCAGCCACGGTTCTTGCTTCACTCCGGTCTCCAATTGCCCGAGGCCCGAGCTTGGTGCGCCCGGCTAGCCAGCAATGGGCCGGAGAACACGGGATGGCAGCAGGTGTCCTGGGATGAGTGGTAGGTGGGATGGGCGCTCCCAACGTCACCGGGGGAAGAAGCGGTGAGGAGGCTCCTTGCCCAGTCAAGCCCAGCCCCAGCACAGCATGGAAAGCAAGGCAGCAGCACCATGTGCATCTGACCCAACCCTCGCAGAGTGCTGTTCTCCCGCTGCCCCAACCCAACCCTCGCAGAGCCCCAACCCGGTTCCTTACCTCCACCTCGCTTGTTCCGTGGCCTCATGGCAATGGCACTGGGCACAGGCGGCAAAAGGCCAGTTTAGGCATGACACAGTTGTCTGCCACCTCGCATATTGCGCCCAATTCTGGTGCGATGTGGCTCAGCCAAAAGCGACAGTGGAACAAGTGGGCCAGGTTTCGCCCCCACCTGCCACATGGATCGCCCTGCTGCTGCCGTTCAGGGGACTACAGCCCGGGTGGGTGTGGGGCTCTGCACAGTGGGACTGCTGCTTACTTTTGATGGCCCTGATGAGCGCATTGCTGTCCTTGACCATATCCTTCAGAAATTTGTTGGTGCGTTCCAGCTCCTGCTTAGAGCACCAGAGCCGCTTGCAGATGCCTGAACTGTCCAGGTAGCAGTCACTGAACTCTAGTGCCAGCTGTCCCATGGCCATCCTGCCCGGCCCCTCGCGACCTCAGCCCTGGTGGTGCACTAACCTCCCGCAGTGGAGGAGCCGAGGCGGCAGCTGGGGGCAGCTCCAGACAAGGCAGGCGGTGCTTCAGCGGCTGCAGCCGGGCCGGTTGTGAAAGAAGTGAGCAGGACACCCAGTTGGAAGAGCGGTTGGGTAGGGGCGGCTTTGATCCCTCCCCAGCGGGTTGCCCTTTCTTCACCCAGAGTCCTGCACCGGGCACATCCCTCACAGCCACTCCCCTTAAAGTGACAGGCGGCGCTGCTGGGTCTGCCACATGGCCGGGAGGAGGCAGCCAGAGGGCCAAGCAGCTCTGGCCACACCAGCGCTCCAGCCGCAATCCTGGCCTTACGAGCTGCGGGGGGGGCACTGGGCCACAGAACCCGGATGGCCAGCAGTGACGGGAAGCTGGGCTGTCTCCCCGCCATCAACCAATGGCTGGCCAGGGGTTCCAGACATGGGCGGCTGCCCTGCCCTGCTGGGCGCCCCTCTGCAGCCTCGGTTACGAAGGCTCCATCCTCTGCGCAGAGCGAGGCCTGGGTGGTGATGGCCAGATCCCCAGCGTGGCCTCTCCTCCTCCAACTCTGACTAGGTGCTGATAGGGTGGGGCCGCCAGACAGATTGCCAGCCAGGAGTTGGCAGCCTTTTGGGAGAGCAGAACCTCTGTCTGCCCCCGTAGCCAGTGCCTTCTGATCAGGGTTGAGGTGGTCACAGTCAGATTTTGACTTCTGGGGGGCAGGGATGATTGGTGCCCCAAGGAATGGAAAGAGTGGAGCGAACAGTCCCCCGAGCCCTGGCTGAGCCACTGCATGGATCGCCTTGCCACTGCCGTTTCCCATCGCACAGATCGCTCTGCCACCACCATTTCCCTCCACCCCCCGCATGGATTGCCCTGCCACCGCTGCCACTTGGAAAAGTCCTCTGCCGCCTGGATCTATGGCTGCAGAGTGATTTCAATACCTGTTGAATGCACTAGAATTATGTCCTAAAATCCAGACTTTCTCTCAGTTGGTCCAGCAAAAGAACTAGCTACAACTGAGAATGTGAATGGAAATGTGAGGTCCCTATCACCATTGAGATTCTTCCAAACATCTGCTGAAGTGGGAGCAATCTACAAAGTACCTAGCAAATGCAATGAAGGAAAGCTTTATACACAGGGGTGTCAAACTGTTGGCCTGCAGGCCAGTTGCATCATGCAGACGCTGTGCCCACCCCAGCTCCAGCAATACAAAAAAAAGTCACAATACATTGTGACACGTCAAGTGGTGAGTTTGACACCAATGCTTTATAGATTCCTTAGCAGACTGAATTTTGAATTGCTCACATATTTTTTTTCCCTGGGAATTGAAGTTACTAGCAGGATTTAAATAATATTCACCAGTCAACTATATAATATCACAAAATTAATCAATGAAATTTCATAAAATTATTTCACTGAGAGCTCTATCCTTCTTAGCATTTCACCACTGCTAGTACAGAAAAGGCTATCAATTTTTCATCCAAAATGTTATCTTTTTTTTCATTTTAGCAGCTTTATTTCATCCCGAAGCTAAGCTTTATCAAGGAGGTTGCTCACTTACAATTAATTACTAATATTCTAACTTATATTCTATCCCAGTGCTTCTCAACGTTTGTGTGACAGCGACTCCCGTCACACAAACGTGCTGCGCATGCGTGGTGCCGCCCCCATGCGCAGCGCGCATGCGCGGCGGCGCCCCCTGAGGGGGAAAAATGGCGGATCGCCTTGTTTGGCGACCCCCGAGAAATGATCGATCGACCCCAAATGGGGTCGCGACCCATAGGTTGAGAACCGCTGTTCTATCCTATGCCCTTCTCATTAACTTTACTTCAAATGTACACATATCAAATATTTTTCTATTCTAATTTTCAGTAAAGTGAAAATTTTGCACAAAAGTGTAAGATTTCATGACATTATGCCATGTTAGTAAATGGCCAGAAAAGGTTCACATGCTGACTGGCAATTAAATTATATTTATTTTGGAGGTGATTACAGTTTTGAGTTTTCTGATTTCTCATTGCCCCTGGAAATGGAACTTGATTTTGAGCTTCTCTTCCCTATTCATGTAAAAAAAATCTGCAATTGTACTTTAAGATAATCAAACTAAAATAACCATAACCTGCTTCTGTATTTCAAAACAATTAAACAGATCAGAGCATTTCTTGCATATTGTTTGAAATGCAGCAAAAAGAAGTCAGTGGGAATCTAAATTGATAAATTGATAAAATGATATGTCATGGTATATTTTTAGTCTTTGCAAAAGACTTTTTTAAAAAATATGCATATAATTATTTGGTCATTCTTTTGTAAGTACTTGTAAAATGTACATATATTTCCATTCATTTTATAGTAATGATTCAAGTAAAGAAGCACGACAAACTAATACAAGGAATTGAATTAATAATATTTTTTACCTTAGTTGGCTTCTTCTGGACCACTTGCTGTGGCTGCAAAACAACAAAACAAAAATAAAACCAGATGATATATATGTGTATATTAAAATATAATTTAAACAATTTACATAAATAAAACTTGCTATATTTTTTAATGTAATATATCTAGAAAAATGCTATTTTAGCATAATATGCAAGATGGCATATTTATCCTTGCTTACAACTATGCTGATAATCTGATTCATGCATTTACAGTACTGAGGTTTACATAGAATGGCAGGTAATTTGCATATTCTAAATCATGTCTAGTTTAGCTTTAAACATATATACTGTAGATATGCCATACTTAACAGCAGACTGAAATGATTTTATTCTTTGTAGAATTTTGAAATATTTGGTAGTCTGAAAAGATAATATATCACAGGGTGATGTGTGAGAAGTTAATTTTGGACTCAAAATCTCTAATTCAATTCCTTTTGGTTTTGATCAAGTATCAGGAACAGATGTAAATCTTTATGTGACTTATCATTCTGAGTCTTCCTTAAGATTTGTCTAAATCTACTTGGAACCTAAGAGTGGCAACTTTCAGCTTCATGAGTAGCTATTATAGCTGTTAGCCGAGGTGGCGCAGCAGTTAGAGTGCAGTACTGCAGGCCACTTTAGCTGACTGTGTTCAGCAGGTCAGCGGTTCAAATCTCACCGGCTCAAGGTTGACTCAGCCTTCCATCCTTCCGAGGTATGTAAAATGAGGACCCAGATTGTTGGGGGCAATGTAAATATATATATACATTGCTTACTGGTGTACACCGCTTAGAGAGTGCTTGCACTTAAAGCGGTATATAAGTCTCATAAAATAAATAAATAAATATTTTATAAAAGGGTTACCAGATCTATAGTTGAAGTATCTTCTAGAGCAGTGCCCCCTCCCCTTTGGCACCAGAACTGGTTTCGTGGAGGGATGGTTTTGAATTTGCTCACTCACCCGCCACTCACCTCCTAACAAGGCATGACCCAGTACCAGGCCATGGCCTGGTGTTTGGGGACTCTTGTCCTAGAGCAAGAATTAATTGTGTAGTAACGTTACTAGTATGCAGATGATACCACTCTAATGGCAGAAAGTGAAGAGGAACTAAAGAGCCTCTTGATGCGGGTGAAGAAGGAGAGTGCAAAAGTTGGCTTGAAACTCAACATTAAGAAAACCAAAATCATGGCATCCGGCCCTCTCAATTCCTGGCAAATAGATGGGGAAGAAATGGAGTAGTGACAGATTTTATTTTTCTGGGCTCCAAGATCACCTCAGATGGGGACTGCAGCCAAGAAATTAAAAGACACTTGCTCATGGGGAGGAAAGCTATGGCAAATCTAGACAGCATACTAAAAAGCAGAGACATTACCCTGCCAACAAAAGTGCGTATAGTCCAGGCCATGGTTTTCCCAGTTGCAATGTATGGCTGTGAAAGTTGGACCATAAGAAAGGCTGAGCGCCAAAGAATTGAGGCCTTTGAACTATGTTGCTGGAGAAGACTCCTGCGACTCCCTTGGACTGCAAGGCGTTCAAACCGGTCAGTCCTAGAGGAGATCAACCCCGACTGCTCTTTAGAAGGCCAGATCCTGAAGTTGAAACTCAAATACTTTGGCCACCTAATGAGAAGGAAGGACTCACTGGAGAAGGGCCTAATGCTGGGAAAGATTGAGGGCAATAGAAGGAGGGGACGACAGAGAATGAGATGGCTGGATGGAGTCACTGAAGCAGTAGGTGTGAACTTAAATGGACTCCAGAAGATGGTGGAGGACAGGAAGACCTGGAGGAACGTTGTCCATGGGGTCGCGATGGGTCGGACATGACTTCGCAATTAACAACAACAACAACATTACTAGTAGAGAAACATGACAAGGAGCTGAATCTAATATATGCCACAATAATTCACTTTTTACTTAGTTGGTAAAAGGTTTAATTTTGGAATGGCAACTTTAAGAAGTTTGGACTTCAACTCCCAGAATTCTCCAACCAGCATTCTGACTGGGCAATTCTGGGAGCTGAAATCCAGGTATCTTAAAGTTGCTAAGATTGAGAAATCATGCTAGATATCCCATATGAATGACTAAAAAATATTTCCTATTGAAGCTGAGGCTCTCACTGAGTAATTTGTGTATCTCCTACCCCAGCTGAGTACTCTCTGGCTGGCTGAAAATTCTGGGACATAATATCAAAGCACCAGGTTGATAAGCGTTGATCAGTTCATTTTTGTTTTGTTGTTTAGCTCTCACTAACTTGCTACTGATTAAGTAAGCCTCAGGCTTGAGCATCAAGCAAGGTGTTCTGTATATGTCAAGTTCATGAAGTAGTCAGACAGATCTCTATAGAGCAGTGGTTCTCAACCTGTGGGTCTGGACCCCATTTGGGGTCGAACGACCATTTCACGGGGGTCGTCAAACCACGCTGTCCGCCATTTTTTCCCCTTTTCCCCAGCTGTCCTACTCCCTCTTATTGGTGGCCACACCCACTTGGGGGTCACCACAACATGGGGAACTGTATTATGGGGTCACGGCATTAGAAAGGTTGAGAACCACTGCTATAGAGATACAGCTGATACAGTTTACCACATTTATGCTGGGGATATCAAAATAGTGAACTATTTTTTAATACAATCTCTCTGAATACTGCCAAATTTCATAAAAGTGTGTATCGATTTCTTCTGTATGAATGCCTAAGTTGTTAGTGGAAAGTTTAGGATACAATGAATTAAGGTATGGGAATAAGCACAAGGAATAAGCATTCACTGCCATCATAAAAAGAAATGTTTGAGAACTGCCAAGCTCTCATTTGTTCATGGCAAATTTGCTTTAGCAGTTAATATGCAACCAAGATCTATATAATCCCTCATTTCCAATTTTTACAATGGATTTTTGATCATAATGTTATCAAAAACTAAAATTTCTATTATTATGTATCAGCAGTAGCAGCTAAACAATTTCCCCTTGTATGATAGACCCCATTTTTCTTTGTAAAATTAGATAGAATATATGTAATCTAAATTTAGAAACTTATTTACCCCCTCCCCAGCGCATACAGAAAACCTGGATCAGCTTGCTGAAAATATAAAAATGAAATTGTAAAAAAAGTGAGTTTTTCTCAAAATGAGCAGGATAAGGAATAAAAATACAAACAGTGGGGGAAAGGGGGAAGAAGGCAGAACTATTTTATAGAAGAATAACCAAACCATCTCCAATTACAATTCTATGCTTTCTAAATCACAAACAGTAATCTAGTTGGCAAAGCTGTTATCGGAGTTGTTAGGAAAAGCCCTGCATGAGTAAGATTCCTCTAAACTTTGGTCTGCGTCCAAAGTACAATGTTTCCTTTTGCTTTTTTTCCATGAATGGCTGCAGTATTGTGCCTCAGTTCTGGCAGACTACTCTTCTGCAGTCATTCATAAAAATAAAAACAAAACAAAACAAATGCCTACAAAAACTTTCTGAGCCCAGTCTAGAGCCAGTGGGTGCCAGAGGCTGAGAAAACATACTGGCAGCTCCAAGTCTAAACAGCATTTAAGTATTCAAGGATCTGCTTGGTGGTCTGTAAAGTATGAAGAGTTGTGTAGAAGGGCAGCTGGTAGAATTATGTGACACATACTAGGCAGTAAGCCAGAGCTGGCCTTATTTCAAACACTGTCCTTCCTCTCATTGAAGTGTCAGGACCTAATTCATGGAACATTTGGTGAGTTGGCAGCTGTTTCAGAGGATTTCATTGAGTTGCAGTGTGCAGGAGTCACATGAATGCCAGGAACGCTGCCAAGAAAAAGGGGATTTTTGAGCAGTAGAAACCAGTTAGCCTACAAGAATGTACATGGGTTTGATGTGGTTTTGGAATAAATATGTGTACAGGTGTAATCAGCAGGAGAGAGAGGCAAGAGGCAAGCGGGCTTGTATGATCTGGATCTGCATGTGGCTCATTATTGAGATATATCTGGGCTCTAAAAAGCAGTTTGTTGGGTTTAGAAAGAAAAAATATATTTTACCAAACATGTTGTTTGATAAAGTAGACCAGAACCTACTACTGGATAAGATAGAAAAATGTGGGTTAGACAGCATCACCACCAGATGGATTTGTAGCTGGCTGACTGGCCGTACTCAGCATGTGGTCCTCAATGGAACTGCATCTACATGGAGGGAAGTGTGTAGTGGAGTGCCCCAGGGCTCTGTTCTGGGCTCAGTGCTCTTCAACATCTTCATCAATGATTTGGATGAGGGGATAGATGGGGAACTCATCATATGTTCAAATGACACCAAGCTGGCAGGAATAGCCAACACTCCAGAAGATAGGTTTAAAATACAGGAGGATCTTGATGACTTGAACATTGAGCGCTATCTAACAAAATGAAATTCAATGGTGAAAAAAGTAAGGTTTGACATTTAGGCAAGAAAAACCAAATGCACAAGTACAGTATAGGTGGTACCTTGCTCAATAGAGGTAACCATGAGATGGATCTAGGAGTCCTAGTGGACAATCACTTAAATATGAGCCAGGAGTGTGCTGCAGCTGCAAAAAAAGCCAACACAGCTCTAGGATCCATTAACAGAGGGATAGAACCAAGATCATGTGAAGTGTTAATACCACTTTATAATGCCTTGGTAAGGCCACACTTGGAATACTGCATCCAGTTTTGCTCACCACGATGTAAAAAAGATGTTGAGACTCTAGAAAGAATACAGAGAAGAGCAACAAAGATGATTAGGGGACTGGAGGCTAAAACATATAAAAAACAGTTGCTGGAGTTGGATATGTCTAGTTTAATGAAGAGAAGGATGAGAAGTGACATGATATCAATGTTCCAATAGCTCAGGGGTTGCCACAAAGAAGAGGGAGTCAAGCTATTCTCCAAAGCACCTGAAATCCGGACAAGAAGCAATGGATGGAAACTAATCAGAGAAGCAACCTCGAACTAAGGAGAAATTTCCTGACAGTTAGAACAATTAATCAGTGGAACAACCTGCCTCCAGAAATTGTGAATGCTCCAACACTGGAAGTTTTTAAGAAGAGACTGGACAACCAT